TAGGGAAATGTAAAAATATAAAATATTATTCGGTTATGTCGTAAGTTAAAAAAAATCGAATAAACAGTTAATTTAGTTTAAGCAAAAAGAACTTCACAGCCAGATGCCTTGTTTCCAATCGCAGGCTAATCCTATGGTCAACATGAAAAAACAAATTTTAAGATTAATCTTACCAAGGCGCTTGCAATATTTGCTAATTAGCGAGATAAAAGCTTGCAATCCGGAAGAAATAGATTAATAATTTTCTCATCCCTCAAGTCAGTATTCTTCTAAAAGTAGCTCATTCAAGTAGCTAATTTTTCAAGAAATTACATATCCATATTAACGATAAATTTTGTTGTCTAACAACTTCAACATACCTACAAGCACAACTTCGAGATAGTTACAAAACTTGTTTTATTCAGCAGCAGAATATCATGCATACTTATTTCTCACATATAATTTCTTCTGCACTGTTGAAACCGAAATCTTAATAGCCATACACAATAAATTAATCACTAAAACAATGAATAGCCGAGTACACGAGGGCCGATTCAATTTGAGATTGCCCTGAAGTTGATGGAATTAAGTGCATACACTAGGCCCCACCATACAGAAGTAGAATTAAACCTGCAAGAAGCTTGCATACTTTGCACCTAAGAGAAGCCGCTGGATGCAGAGAAGTGCATTTTTAGTAACTTCAGCATTTTCATGGTTCATAAGTTTCATCACTCGTTCCTTGGCCTTAAGGTCCGTCACAATGATACGTCCTGCAGGATGGATCTGGATAAACTGTGAAAGGTCAAAGCAAGCAACAGCCAGAGATCTAGGATCATTGGAGGTGTCCAAAATTGTTATTAGGACCCTTAGGATCTGCAACAGATGAAGATAGTATTAATAAATAATAGATGAATGTTCAAGATAGAGAGTACACAACAAGATTACACTATCCTCGATATCTTTTCCTTTTTTGCATTACCAAATGGCACTTTATCTAGCATAATCATCTGTTTTTGCAATAAAATTATTTCTCTATATTCTATGCAGGGCAAAGAAAAATGTGTATCGTAGTAAGCATACATCTTATCCGATGAGATCCATGAGCACCCTCAAATGAACAAAATATTTTAAAATCCATAAACACCTAACATAGACAATTTTCTCTTCTTCGGAACAAAAATAATAGACAATTTCTCTTCTTAGGAACAAAAATATTTATCCAACACATGGAAGTAAAGTAACAATGCTGCTAAATAGAACCAATCAATCAATTCTTTTGCACATAGTCACCTTTTTCTGGACCATTCGTTTTTGTCTAAAGCATCATGATTCATGATATAAACATTGAAAAAGAGATTTTTTTTTATATTAAAAGTTATTAAAATTATCATAACCTTAATGCAAACGATGTGTTAATGCAAAGTAAAAAGATGGATTTGTTAACTGATTTTATTTTATTTTATTAATTAATTAATTAATTAATTAATATTGCCTCATTTTTACCATGCTTATTTTATTGATCTATTTAAGACAAACCAGCTCCATTTCCATTTTGCTACCAACCGCAGCTTGAAAGTTACTACAATTCTATGAAAAGGAAATATTTTGGACCACATGATATGTTTGACCAGTGATGCCTTCTTAGGACTCACCACAATAACAAGGGTCAGGTAATAAATAAAGTAGTCAAACAGATCTCATCTCTTTAGCCATTAGTTGATTACAGTGAAGAAGTAGAGATACAGTCAGCTGCAATCACAAAAGACTCCATAGAGTTGTCCATTTACAGTTTATTTTCATTACATTTACATTGTATCCTAGTGATGTATTACACACCAACCAAAAAAGACAACAATTATCAGTTGAAAATCGTATCACATGGATCACTCACTGCTCGAAAAACACCATCCATGTTGATAATATCACCATTTCTATAAGAAAACTATAATAGTTTGCACAATCAACTGTGTAATGCCAAGACCCAGACTCCGACATGGGAGGGCATATTCTATCATGGAATACAACATCAAGCAGTTCCATACTGCCTAACTTGCATAGAAAATCAGAGAACAGAAAAGCACCCTAGCTAGCCATCCAGATAGTATTCAGTACTAACCATTTCTATCAAGGTAAAACCCAATATGGACCACAGATATGCCAATTTTATATTATTACATTAAATAACAAAGAAAATAGTATGGCCACAACTGCAAGCCTTGTAATTTTTCTCTGCCTAAAATTTCATGTGTGCTTAAAATAAAAATTAAATTGAAGCATAAAGGAAGAGATAATGCACGTATACCTGGAAATCACTTTCTTCAAAGTTGGTTATATTTTCTCGCCAGAATATGGGATCTTTGTGCATGGGAGACCAATCCAGATGGCCAAGGAGAACTTCTTGCTTGTACTTATCAAAAGAACTTAGTTTCTTAATATTATCCTTAAGCCCTTCTTCCAGGGAATTCAGTGCCTCCAACAAGTCCTGTGAAAAACTTTACTAATCAATAGAAGTGTTGAGCAAGCAACACAAAATAGATTATTTCAAAAAGGAAATGTGGTAACAGAGGTTAAAGAAATACCCTTCTATTTTTAGTTTGTAATTGAAGATAAAGTGACAAAGTTTGAGAAATGTAAGATTTAAATATTGGGAGAACAGTGTGTATATAAATATATATATATATTGTTCAATCATAAAGAGTGCAAATTCAAGCAAATGTAAGAGCAAACAGAAAAGGTACTTTGAAATGAAGAAAAACTGATGTTTGGTGAGCCCTCTAAAATGTATACTCAAGTTAGCAACATAAATGGTGTACACTTGAGAGAAAAGAATCCTAACAGAAAATATGCTGATAATGTGATACAAATAGTGGAGAATTCAGGATAAGAGTGGACGTGTGAGATCATTCTGTTATTTTTCCCCTCGCTCTATTATCTCTTGAGATTTACCTTCTGTTATGATTTCATATTTTCATATTGCACTCGTTGCAGCATTTTAATACCATACTTATTTCAGAATTCTAGTTTTCCTGGTACTGGAAAATTGATTGAATTAATACAATTCTGCTGGATTGTCTCTTTCTCTGTGTTGTCCCTTACAATCCAAATTATAATTAAAAAAAATGTTACAATTATGATGACAGTAAAAAAAACTAAAATATTAGTTCTGGCTGCAAATATATCAATAATGGCAACATGTTAGAAAGGGAAACCTAATGCACAAGACTTCCAGTCCAGCATTTGAACCTGTGATTGGCTATTTCTAGGTCACAGGACAGCAACTTTACTGTTGCACCAAGGCTCAAATGGAAAGATGTCTATCAAAAATATTTTTCTCTGCTGGCATCTATTATAATTTTACACAATTTACACAAATAAATTATCAGCAGCAAGTTAATGTAGGTCCTGATTATCTCACCTCATCACTCCATGCTTGGGCTTTTAAACTCTGGACAACTTGTGGCAGCTGAAGGTCAACCATCTGAGCACCCAATGTCCCTTTTGACATCAAGTTCTTAAGAGTCAAGACAACAACTCTAACCACCTAACAAATTTGTAAACCAAGTGTGCCAACATTAGATTGTTATAGCAGAGAAAGTTATAAACATTTCTACTTGCTACCATTACAGACATAGATATAACAGAAGGTAAATACAATTTCAGCTGACAGCTATCAAATAACTATAAGTATATAACTAACAATGATATTTCCAGAAATAAAGAAATGTGAACAACATTTTATTTGCAACAGAAAACTGAGATGAACTTAAATTCAACAAGTCAGCAATACCTTCTCTTTTGTAGAACTCTTAACAACATCAATAAGTCGTGGAAGGGTCCTTGAAGTAGCCAAATACTCAATTGCTGGCTCATAATAGGATAAGAGCCATATGCAAAGACATGTTTCATAAAGAAGCTGTTACAGAGGAATTTATCAATTAATTTCTTTGGGTCCCTACAAAAGCACAATGAAATCTACAAATTTCATCAGTAATATTTTATTATTTATATTCATAGATCCAATTTTGAAGCCAACATATCTGTAATCCCCAGATACCACTCTATCAATGTTGTTCAAAATAATTGTTATTTGGTCAGCTGCACCAAACATGTTTAAGTTATCCACCTCTTACTGAATGCAATACAAGCTATTGGATTTCCAGTAAGTATTACAATCATAACTAGATATATCATGCTTACCCAAACATTTATCCTATTGGTATAATAAATATAGGCCAACAGAAGGCAAATTCAGTTTCTCAGATTCTCAGAGGTAGAGTCCAACAAATTTACCTGAATAGATTGTTGAGTGGATGCTGGTGAAATCAATGGCACAAGTAACTTGACCCCATCCGCCTGAACAAAGGAAGACCTAACCACAGGTTCCTTGAGTAGTGTTGCTAGGCAATTGATAGCAGTTGGGACTCCACGAATAGGATGAGAAGGTTTCTTTAACTACAGATTTAATAAATAGATGAAAGTAAGATGCATATTACATAGATGATAAAACTGGATCTATGCACACGTTAGGATATAAAATTCAATTCTTATATTCATGTAGGTTTAATCGATTCTGCAGTCCAATTTATAACCTAGTTGTTCATGTTCAGCAAATAATGTGTCGCTCATGTGGACTTGCAAATCATACTAAATTCTCATACATATCAAGCAATTGTAGCAGCTTCCTCCATAAGTTGATGTGATAGGTGCATTATCACCATGTCTTTTAATTATTCTTATTTATGTGATTGACTAGTGAGAAAAAAACAAGGTTTAGTATCACATACCTGTTCACAGAGCCATTTTACCAATCCTATCAAAACATCATCAATAGTTGTAAGAGACTTCTTTCCATTTGATGCTTCTCCATTTGACACAGTACCATTCTGACTTTTTGGCCTGACACTATAATCAGAAAAGGGTGAAATTTTGCGATAACTGAGAAGGTAAAATAATTTATACAAGTATACAACAGAATCTGTTATTTGATTCAAGTCTAAGAATTTTTTGAGTTAAAATGTGAAAAAGTCTCATGGTTGTATTACCTAACAATTAAAGCAAGGATCTTACAACTTTTCTCTTGTATGAACCAATTTCCTTTCCAGAGCAATCTGAAAGATGGATAATATTGTCATTTTTATTTTTTGTAACATAACTTTGAAGTGGGAAGAAAATATTCAAAACACATAACAATCATATAACATCATCTAGATGAAAATTGAAAATTGCTTTTAATCCTCAAGTTGTAAAAGTAAATTAACTGATAAAGGAAAAATGTAATCAAGGGGGAAAATGACGGGCTTTCAGTTTGTGTCCGATGGAAAGGTGTAATTATATAAAATAAAAACATCAATATGAAGCACAATCTCCTTACAAGCATATATTTTACATCAGCCGATATGGTCATCAGTGGTTAGAGCAGGGTGTGAAACAAATGCTGAATTATAATATAATAAGAGATTTAAAAAAAATATGTGCAATATAATTGATAAAAAAAACAGTACATGTGAGCTTGCCTCATCTCCAAAGCAAAGTTAGCCATTAACACACAAAATTGCAAATCAATAACATATTTGAGTAAATACATAACTTAGGAAAGGCTCATAAGTATCTTCATCCGCAAGGGCACTGTCATGAAACAGTCTTGCTCTCTTCGGGTTTGCTGCAAAAGATGATAATTTAAAGGTTATGCCACTGTTAACAAACCAAAGAAAAAAGCCAACTTCAACAAATTACCTGCAAGCATTTCATCTATCAGGGCCAAAACATACTCTACAGTATCCTCCTTGAAAATGTCACGCAAAACACGAACAAACACGCGAACATAAGAGGGACCATCCTGCCACACAAAGAAGTTGAATTTCCAAAACCAATAGACAGCAAACTCCGGAATCACAAATTAAATCCACTTCAAATCAAAATTGCAACCAAATTCAATTTCAAAAACACAGACCACAGCAATCAGCATCGGTAATTTAATTTACAATAAAAAATTAAAAAAAAAGTCCTACATCATCGAGCAACTGTGCTTTGTGACTTTCTGGTCGGTGATCGTAACGCCTCAAGAGCTGAAGGCTCGTGCCTGAGATAAGCTTCGTGGACATATAGGTCTCCCATGGGATGTCCCTCCTCAGAACCTTTGAGAAAACACAGACACAATGTCAGCGTAGAAATTCAATCTACATCGACGATCGACGACGTTAAAACGCACGAGAACTAAATCGAAACGGAATCGAGCAGAATCGCGATTCTGCAATCAGATCGAGGAACGAAGAAACGAAAACGGATCGGGAAGTACCTGTTCGGAGGTTAATTCGGCCTGGTCCATGGCAGCGGGGAACCCTAGAAGTGGCGGAGTTCGATCGAGAAATTAACTGTTTGGCGCTGCGGAAGAAGAAGTGAAATCGAGTGAAATGAATGCCAGTGGCGGAGGCAGAAGTGAAATTGAAAGGAGGGAAAGTGAGAAAGGAAGAGGAAGAGAGTGATGGATCGAGAAGAGGTTTATTTTACCCGGGATTTGGTGGATTTTGGATTTGTAGCAGGGAGAAAGAAAGACAGAAGTAAGAAGGAGAAGGGAAATAGATCAGTTTTGGAAGCACATGATGAGCATCCCTCGCTCCACAACTTCCACAGTCGTGTTCATCTCCGCGACACGTGGCTCCTCATATGTTATTTGGTAATGTAAACGTAAATCGGTAAAATGTAAATAAATATAAACATAACTCGGTAAGTTGGCATTTTATTTGAGTAATAATCTTTTTTTATTCTCAAAAATATGAATTAAGAATATTTATTCTTATATTCAAAACTATAAAAGTTTCATGTTTCTCATTCTTTTTCATTCATCATGAAAAATATTAACGTGATGAGAATTAAATATAAGTTTTTTCATATCTATTCTAATTTTTTTTTATCAATTATTAGATTAACCTAATTGTACTATCCGTACCGCTATGCCAAGTTCGAGTTCGGTATCACAGCGCAGGACGACCTCAGCATGCGCTGGGAGATCTCGGTCTAGACGAGATCCACTATCTAATTAGATCGTAACTGATCTCAGGCCCAAGGCCCAACAAAACCCTAATACACACAAAGGTACGTGCATTACTTATACGAGACTCATATACCCACAAACACTAATTTTAGCATCAGAGTCTCTTTTGCAGGTACCACCCCCATCTTGGAGCATCAACGTACCAGTGAAGGAGGCTCACCGATCTTACCCAGCAGATTGTCCCTACCACCAATCTCCGGTAAGAACATTTGGCGCCCACCGTGAGGCCGATCAAGACAGCTCTTATCGGCCACGCTTATGGTTTTTACCAGAAGCCATAGCAGACGCGCAACAGACGACCTAGATCACGCAACTACCATGGACAATGAAGCAGCATTGAGAAGGCTGATCAAGCAGGTCGAGCAGATGCGGCAACAACATACCGCCGATCTGCAAAACATGCGTGCCAAGCACGAAACTGACCTAGTAGCGATGCGGACCGCTAATGAGGCTGACCTAGCAGTGCTGCGCGCTAAGAATGAGCAGATTCGCGCCCAACTCCCTCGACGCCCTTCTGATCATCCTCCTCAAGCGAGCAACCTGCACGAGGAAAAAGGGCATTCGGTCTCTCAACCCCGGACTGCGCCTAGGGCACCGACTCCATGGCCTGCCACGCATCGGTCTCATGCACCGACGCACAAATCGGCCCATGAGGTCAGCAATGCTCCTACTCATGTCGTAGGGGATCGACCAACCTTCTGCCATCATCCTTTTGTGGATGGCATTATGGAGACGCCACCCCCCCTCGGTGGGAAGCCTCTCCACCTCGACCGCTACGACGGCACGACGGACCCAGACGAGCACATCGACCTGTACACCACATAGGTAAACCTCTACACCAATAACGATGTTATTCTGTGTATGATTTTTCTGACCTCGCTCAAAGGCACCGCGCTCAACTGGTATACCCAGCTACCTGCCGAGTCAATTGACAGCTTCAGCACCCTGGTCAGACGGTTCACAGCACAGTATGCGAGGAGCCGACCTCATCACATAACATCAGTTGCCCTGGCCAGTCTCTGACAGGATGACGATGAACCACTCTGGACGTTCATGGAATGATTCGCCGCCATCTCAGTAAAGATCCAGAATCTGAATCCCGAGGTTGCTCTACACGCCATGCTCATGGCACTTAAGCCCGGACCGTTCGTCGACAGTCTATGTCGTGAAGCTCCTCGCGATATGGACGAGCTTCGTGCCCGTGCTGCTGGGTAAATCCAAATGGAGGAACATTCTGCCTTCCGTGACCAGGTTCGCAGAAAATCACAAGCAAAACCTGAAAGTGGCCACAAAGACAAGAAGAAGGTCACCAACGACAGCCAGTTCAAGAAAACTGCTCGGACAAACAAGGGGGGAGATATGACTTCTACACTCTCCTGAATACGCCCCGAGTTCACATCCTGGAGGAGGCTAGTAACAGCAACCTTCTCACCCTGCCACCACCAGGTCACACTCCTAACAGTGCGGACAAGTCCAAACACTGTCGGTATCACAGAAACCACGGTCACACCACTGAAGAGAGCCGCACACTCCGAGATCGTATTGAGGAACTCATACAGGCAGGCCACCTCGGCCAATATGTCCAACGATAGCAGGGTTACCGAGGAGGCTATGGTGGACAAGGACGAGGCAGAGGTCGTGGTTCGGGAGCTCACACGGACCAACCCTCTAGCTCTCAGAAAAACGCCGGTGGAGCAGTGCAAGCCGAGGTAAGCCAGGCAACAGGGTCAGCTCCCCTACGGGGAGTAATCAACACAATTGCAGGTGGTTTCGCAGGGGGAGGCGCCAGCAGCTCGGCCCGGAAGAGACACCTGCGCAATATCAACAGCGTCCACTCCACTACCTCGGCTTCGCACCAAAGCTCACCGCCCATCACCTTCACCGACGACGACTACGCTGGCGTCAGCCCCAACCAGGATGACCCCATGGTCATCACCGTGGAGGTAGCTAATTGGGAGGTCCACAAGACACTGATCGACCAAGGAAGCTCGACTGACGTCCTATATTGGCCGACGTTCCTCAGGTTAGACATCCCTCACTCTCTCATCCAACCTCACACAGAGCCCCTAGTCAGTTTTGCAGGAGAGCGAGTACACACTCGGGGATACGTGGACCTGCTGACAACTTTCGGGACCTCCCCAGACACAAGGCAGATTATGGTCCAATACCTCCTCGTGGAATCCAACACTTCCTACAACATAATTATTGGGAGGCCGACCTTGAATCAACTCGGAGCAGTGGTGTCCACCCCACACCTCACCATGAAATTCCCTAGGAGTGATGGGAACATTATTTCTGTCAAGGCAAACCAGAAGACAGCTCGGCAGTGCTACACCGAGAGTCTGAAAATCTCCTCGTCCGGCGAGTGATGCAAGAGAGATCCTCCTACAGTGGCTCACATCACCCACGTGGAGATCACTGACCTCGACCCGAGGTCTGATTCCCACGATGAACGACCGAGTCCCATCGACAAGCTCGATGACCTCTAGATCGGAAAACTCTCGGGGCAATGCACGAAGATCAGCAGGCAGTTGAGCCCGGAGTTACGGCAACAGCTCGAAGTTGAGATCCTCAAGACCGTCGACCTCTTTGCATGGTCCAGTGCCGACATGCCAGGCCTAGACGCCGACTTCATCAGTCACCGGTTAGCAATTCACAAGGAGGCAAAGCTAGTGGCCTAGAGGAAGAGGAAAGTCGGTGGCGAGAAGCGGGAGGCCATCATCACCAAGACACAAAAGTTGATGAACGCTGACTTCATCCGTGAAGTCAGGTACACCACATGGCTAGCAAACGTGGTGCTGGTAAAGAAGAACTCAGGAAAGTGGTGAATGTGCGTCGACTACACCGACTTGAACAGAGCGTGCCCCAAGGACTCATACCCCCTGCCGAGCGTTGACAGGCTGGTCGACGGAGCGTCTGGACACGCCCTCCTCAGTTTCCTCGACGCCTACTCCGGGTACAACCAGATAATGATGTACCCACCTGACGAGGTGCACACATCCTTCATCATCGATCACGCCAATTACTGCTATCGAGTGATGCCTTTCTGTCTTAAGAACGTAGGGGCCACCTACCAGCGGCTGATGGACAAGGTTTTCCACCAGCAGATCGACCGAAACATGGAGGTCTATGTCGATGACATGGTGGTCAAAACCACCTCAGCCGAAGCTCATGCTGCCGACCTCGCCGAAGTGTTCGGCCAGATCAGAAGACACAACATGCGTCTCAATCCAGAAAAGTGTGTCTTCGGTGTCCAGGGAGGTAAGTTCCTTGGTTTCATGATTACTAGCAAGGGGATCGAGGCCAACCCGGAAAAGTGCAAAGCCATCATTCAGATGCAGAGTCCCCAGACCGTGAAGGATGTCCAGCGTCTAGCAGGAAGGTTGGTCTCCCTTTCACGTTTTATCCCCAAGCTGGCGGACAAGGCAGGGCCCATCTTCACCCTACTATGGAAGTCGAAGAACTTCGAATGGACGAACCAATGCGAGGAGGCTTTAAAAAGCTTCAAAACCTTCCTCACTACTCCGCCAATTCTTCAAAGGCCGGATCACAAATCCAACCTTCTCCTCTACCTGGCAGTAGCAGAAAGCCCAATCAGCACGGTGATAGTGCAAGAGTACCAGAAAACACAGACGCCGATCTACTTTATTAGCCGAGTCCTCTAAGACATGGAGAAAAGGTATCAAACCATTGAAAAACTCGCATTGGCACTTGTCACGGCAGCCAGGCATCTCCGACCTTACTTCTAGAATCACCAAGTGGTCGTCAAAACTGACTACCCAATCAAGCATATCCTGAGGAAGCCAGAGCTCGCCGGGCGGATGATAGCCTGGTTAGTAGATTTATCCGAGTTCGGCATCCAGTACGAAAGTCGCGGAGCCCTAAAAGCCCAATGCTTGGCCGATTTCGTAGCCGAGCTCACACCTACCTCAATCGAAGAACCACAAGTATGGATTTTACACGGGTCCTCCAACTCCAAAGGTGGTGGTACAAGTATCATCTTGGAAGGACCGAACCAAGTCACTTTGGAGCAATCCCTCAAGTTCAGCTTCAAGGTGACCAACAACCAGGCAGGGTACGAGGTGCTTCTCGCAGGGCTAAAGCTGGCTCATGACCTCGGGGCTCGGAGAGTGAATTGCAACAGCGACTCGAAACTCATGGTAGAGTAGCTCAGCGGAACGTATCAGGCCAAGGATGTTCTCCTACAGCGGTATTTCCACATGGCATCACAGCAGATCTCGTCCTTCGACGAGTTCACAACACAACATGTACCGCGAGAACAAAACACCAGAGCTGACCTCCTTTCAAAGCTCGCCAGCACCAAACGCCCTGGACAACATCGGACCATCATCCAGGAGACCTTGCACTCACCTAGTCTAGACGACAAGATCGTCAACACCAGCAACATCGAAGACCAAGGATGGATGACAGGCATTTGGAGCTACCTGAAGGCAGGAGTTTTGCCCGAAGATAGGGACGAAGCTCGGAAGATGAGGTTGAGGTTAGCCAAGTTCGTGATCGTCGGCGACGAACTGTTCAAGCGTGGCATCTCTACGCCA